GTTTTACATGGTGAAATGTGACTGATGAAAACTTAGGAGCTTAATCCCACACCAATTTGACCATGGATAACGCCAGGTGACCAGTCCGACTTTTTTTTCACATTGGACTCCGCCAAGAAGAAATCCCGTGCATACTGCTGCTTAAATGTTCACTACGTCACAACTTATTCAGAAAATGTGTTTCCATCTCTGCTTTTGTGCATTAACTCTTACAGGATGGAGGAAATTGGTCTTGGTGGAGGTTTGCACTCTCTGAGTGCTTCTAGTTGGATTAGATTTAGGTGTTCTGACTGTTCCTTTGTTTTCTTTGTTGTAATTTTCCCTCATCTGTAGATATCTGAACGTCTTGATTCTTCAACTGAAACGTGTCTTTAAAGTCCTGAAGAGTCGTATCTTATTTTAGTAGCAGAAAAAGCAGGATTTAGTGTTTATATAAAGAAGAGCCACATTGACAGTGATCTCTGTATTTTAGTCATACTCTAGTGAAAACCTGAGCCACAGTGAGTCATGAGGTTGTGCACACAGGGTCTTACTGTGAATTGCATTCTTTAAAAACTGAGTTTATAACACCTGAATGTCTGTAACAAAGGGAACAGAGCCTGTTATGTTATTTATGCTCTGTCAAACATATTGTCACACAAGATAAACCTCAAGCCTTTTTAAATATTGGAATGTGATGATGTCTTTTTCACTTGATGTTTTATTTTCATTTTTTTAAATCATACAAACCACTTTTTGTCTGGAAATAAAGTCTTAATTTTAAATTTTTAATACATTTTTAGCCTTTTTATCTTGTCTTATCCCATGTTTTCTTGTTGTGTTTCATTTTGTCTTTTCAAGTTTTATCTGATTTAATCTCATTTCATGGTTTTTTTTTTATCTCATTTGACCTTGTTCCTTTAATATTGTTCTTAAGATGAAAATTGTGTTTATTATTGAGCACCTGGTCACTTAACTATGTTGCATCTCCTGTATGTCCATGTGATCTGTCTTGTTTTGTTTTTGGAAAGAAGTTGAATCAACTCTGCAGGCATAAATGAAACTGACTGAATATCAATCTGTTCCACACATAAATACTAAATTCTGGACATTTTCAAAGTGTTTTAAATCCCTATTCTTCTGATCAATTTAAATGTAACTGTCAGTCAGTTTTACATAACGTATGATGGCTGTGGATCAGTGGTTGGAGCTGTGGACCTCCTGATTCCACCAGCATCAGTCACATGTCCACGAGTCCCTGTCAAAGACTTGAACCACTTGTTGCCTCTGCTGGGACCACTGGTGTGGATGGGATTAAAAAGCACTGATTAGTCTCTACAGAATAACGTCTTCAGATTAGAGACGTATGCAGTGATGGATAAATGATGGTACAGTTGACCTGAAAGGCTCTAAATAAAAACTGTCCATTTTTCATCTCTGGTCAAATGTTCAAGCTGTCCTTTCAGAGGGACAAAACAGACTCAGACCCTGTTAAATATTTTAATTTGAGTTGTCCTTACATGTTGTCACAACTCTACAGTTTACTCAAAGTTTCATTCAAATTAAGACTTTAAATAATTTTCTGTTCATTTCAGGCATTTTTAATGAAACCACTGCTTTATGTGGGACTTTATAAAATCAATAAATCCTCTCAGCAGCTGCACTGATCACCTGGATGTAGCTGTGGATCAGAGGAATGAAGTCATCTGAAGTCATCTGCATCACAACATGATCCTCAGGTACACAGCCCCCTTCATCCTGCTGAAACACAGGGACATGATATGATACACACACAGTTCGATATACACACAGTTCGATATACACACACAGTTCGATATACACACAGTATGATATACACACAGTACGATATACACACAGTTCGATATACACACAGTATGATATACACACAGTACGATATACACACAGTTCGATATACACACAGTATGATATACACACAGTACGATATACACACAGTATTATATACTGTACACACAGTATGATATACACACACAGTACGATATACACACAGTATTATATACACACAGTTCGATATACACACAGTTCGATATACACACACAGTTCGATATACACACAGTATGATATACACACAGTACGATATACACACAGTATTATATACTGTACACACAGTATGATATACACACACAGTACGATATACACACAGTATTATATACACACAGTTCGATATACACACAGTTCGATATACACACAGTATTATATACTGTACACACAGTATGATATACACACACTATATACGACTCTGACCTCTCACTCCCTCTACACTGTGTTTTTAATGACTGCATCATGTTATCTGTACCTTATTGATTTATAACATGTTATAACTGTTAGCTGTGCCACACCTGTAAATATGACTAGTTTGTTTATAACTGGTTTGTTTATAACTGGTTTGTTTATAACTGGTTTGTTTATAACTGGTTTGTTTATAACTGGTTTGTTCTAGCACTATTTACTGTTTCTGAGATTTACACATCATTGCATTGAGTTTTTTACACATTGCACATGTTGTACCTGAGTTTTAGTGTCATTCCTCACCTGACCACAGGGGGCGCTCCGGGCCCAGCTGACACTGCGAGGGATGACTTGTCTTTCAACGACACAGCTGCAGCCCAGAGCCTGCACTGCAGCCAGCAGAGCCCCGCCCCCTTCCACCTGCAGGACAGCTGCACACACACACACACACACACACACACACACACACACACACACTGAGGCACACTGTGATCAGTGTTCAGAGGAACACGTACCTGTCCTCTCCTCACCTGGATCCACACACACCAGCATGTGTTTGATGCACTCGTCTGGCCTCAGAGCCCTGGCAGCCTGAGCCACAGCTCTCCTCTGTTGTTCCTGCTGTGTGTCTGTGAGCTGCCTCCTCCTCCTCCTCACAGCCTGCTCCCTGGACTCCTGCACCTCCTCTGCTGTCCTCTTGGCTCTGTTCTTTAGAGGAGCACCATCCTCCACCTGGCTGGTTTGTTTCACCTGTTCAGAAGGTAAACCCAGCTCAGCTCCTCCTCCTCGGTGGAGCACAGAGGAGGTGCTGATGGAAGCATCCTGTCTGTGTTTGAGTCTCTGTGCCAGAGGAACATCAGGCTCCTCATCATCTGAATCACTGCTGATCAGCATCACAGCAGGTCCAGCTGCACCTCTCTGACACGTCAGGCTGGAGCTGCCAGCTGGCTGCAGGAAGGTGAACACTGGCAGCTCCTCATCCAGGTCACTGGTGCTGTCACTGTCACCCACCATGCTCTGCAGGCACTGCACACAGTGAAGACAGGAGAAGACTTCATCAGCTACAGACAGGTCTCCATGTTGGTAAAAACACCAAGTTTCTGATGAAATTCAGTCATTGTTTAATGATTGATAACAGCTGGATTAATAACCAAGTCTAAGTGCTCCGATAGATTCAGCAACAGAAACGAGGGGTGCAACATTAGGGTTGGGCATAATCGTATCGTGTGCAAAAACATTAATCGATTAATTTTTGGCACTATATGATTAATATGATTAATGCCAGCAGGCAGAGTCCACTCGGTGCTCCTCTCTGCTTCAAATATGACAAACATTACAATAAAGTTTTGTAATTTATTTATCTATCAACACAATTTAAAAATTGATTTAAAGCCTGAACTCTGTAATTTTCACACAACTGGAACAGATTTTTATGAAGAGTAAATCTTTCCCACTAAATTGTCATGTGACCAGGACATAAGGGACTCCAGGGACTCCAAGGGATTAATTGTCAAATTACTCGTTATCATCTGAATACCACAATTAATCCTGATTAATTTTTTTGCAGTATTGCCCAAGCCTAGCAACAATACATGTACCCGTATCGAACAGTGTTTTAGGTTCAACACACACTTGTATGGAACAATACAGATTTATAAATTTATTTTATCAGCTTGTCTTCTGAAGATGCTCTGTGTTGAAGGATCAGTGGATCTGTGTTCGACTACTCCACCTAGGCTGCATTTTTGAGCACAGATCCACTGAGAAACTTGCTGTTTCAGCAACATTTAATTTAAAAACTGGACTTTTGAGGTTAAACAAATGTTCAAAATTAATTTCAATAAATTACAACTTAAAAGGGGCATGGACATTTCTCTTTTTTGTATCGAAAAAATATCGAACCGTGAGACTAAAGTATTGAACCGAACTGAACCGTGAATTTTCTGTATCGTTGCAGCCCTGATAGAAACATAATTCTACTTTCAGGAACCACAGATTATCTGTTTTATACCTTCTAGTACAAAGTTAATAAATGCTTTGTTTCTGTAGTTAACTACACATTTGTACCTGAGTAATTATTTTCAGCTTTATTTCTACTCTTTATATTTTTTAAATGTTAGAAGCAGAAACTTGTTACTCTGATTTGGTGCTGTCTTATTGTAAAATAATAAACTATCCAGATATGTCATACCTCCCACACAGAGTGAATTAACAGTAGTTGGATGAGAAGTATAAATATTTACCAGCTGGCTGTAGAATCCATCACACCTGAACACGACACATGTCAGACATGTAGTCTGTATGAACAGGACCAGGAAACAGGTCAAGTGTATATATATGGGTCCCAATGGTAGCCTTAATTTATAGCTGACAGGCAGCCCAGTGCATCAGATACTAATATATAT